AAAAATATCCATCATAAAATCTAGCTGGCTCGAAGCAGACGACAGTAAAAGAAGTGTAGGTCATCTAGAAAAGAATGTACCACTCAACCATAAATGATGCATTTCCCTGTAGCAAACCAAATACCTCAGTATCCAACAGTGGTAACAAAAAAGAACCGACTCAGCAAAATAAAACGCTTTTAACCCTTTCACCCGTCTTTTTTTTCAACAAAAGTGGAGATTCAACAAGAAGAGAAAATGCTTACAAGTTGACTTCTTTTTACAGCGAATACTCTTCGGAGGATTATTTACTTATCTTCTTTCTATAGTATTGTAACGTCATCGTCTTTCCTGGAAATGCTCTGAAAACGAAAGACTTTTACGCTGAATTTCAAAAATTCCTTGTACAAAACAAAAGTTTTGTATATTGTAAGGTATGTTTCATTATCACCATCCATTAAATATCTTTGAAACAAATAAAGGTAAACTGAGAACGAAATAAGTTTTAATGGACTTTACTACATTTCACAATAATTCCCTCACATTGAAGTTTCGGAGTTGACTTATAAAAGACTTCAAAATAATATACAAATTATGTGATCACAAACGTAAATTAGTGAAATTAATTTAAATAATATTACTTTCTAGTGACATTAGGTATATTTTGAAAGCAGGAAAGATGAAAAATTAGCAAAGCCTTCGCCGAGAATCTAACCACGGACCTCTGGAATACCGGCCAGCGTGCAGACCTTCACATTGGTCGCCTTCTTAGCGTGCTAAGAAGGTGGGAGAAATACCTTATATACACCCTTCTAAGGGGCGACTGGAGTTTTTAGGGGACCCTATCGCCAAATCCTGGGTGAGGAGGATCATCATCCAACACCCTTTTATAGTTCGGGCACCACTGTAGAGACATTAGGTATTTTTTGGAAGCAGAAAAGATGAAAAATCAACAAAGCCAACAAACTCCGTGGTTCGATTCAACAAAGAATCGAACCGCAGACTTCTGGAATACCGGCCTAGTGTGCAGAACCACTACACCACGAAGGTACAATAGGAAGGCGGGAGAAATATTTATAACTTTGTGTTTAATCTCGTCATTAAGGGGACAGTGGACATTAAAATAGATATTATAAATATTAAAATAATGATTTAATTAAAAAATATTGATTTTTTACTCTCGTAATATTTCATATACTTACCTACATCGCATGCAAAGTTAGAATTCAAATATTCTAACTTTTAAAGAAGTTACAAGCATTTAAAATGCGTAAACTTTGTACCTTAAATTTTGGAGAAAATGTAAAAAAAAAAAAAAAAAAATGTATTTGAACAGTTATTTACTGATATTATAATTTATATATTTGCTTAAAATTGTTTTTGTCTAAACAAAGGCTATAAATGTCAAGTATTGACAACTATTAATGAATTTAACTTTAGTTATGTAAATGCTACATGCGTAGAACAGGAAAAAACAAACTCATTTTCCCTACTCGTTGCAAAAAAACGTTACTGACGTCGCTTGAACCAAAGCAAAAAGAGAAGTTCACCTACTTGAAAAAAAACAGAAACAGTAAGAAATATTGTAAAGCATTAAAAGATAATCTAAATGTAACAAATGAGGGTTAAACATATTATTCGGGTGAACCTTAAAAGTTTCATTGGATATAATGCATAAATTTTTTCTACCTATAACTTCGAATCACATACCTCTTTGTTACAGACAAGCCGACGGGCATCATCTTCCTGTTAACGGTTAACATCATCATCATCTATCTCATTACTGAATATGACTGCGTTTCAAGCCCACCAGTGGGCTTATATACATACATTTTTAACACATATAAAGAAAAATATATATGCTTGCATATAAATAATAATATGCATTTATCAATATACAATACACAGGAGTCAATATGCAGTACACAGGCATTTCTTAGTGCAACTTGGCACTTGAAGATGTTTCTATTCTAGAAAAGTTGAAAACCTTATGGCTTGAAGAAAAATTATTGCAAACGATATTCTTCAAAAATTGTAGATTATTATCTGTCAACCGTGTTCCTTTCTTATACTAATTACTTTTCAACCGTTAAAAGAAAACTGTACTAACATAAATATTTTCCCAAACATATCGCTTGGCGTACCAGCTGCGGAGAGGTAAAAGCCGCTGAACAGAGGCAGTTCGGGCCGATGTTCGAGGACCCAGAGAACGGGCAGGCTGTATGGTTGATTTGTAGTGTTATGTAGAGAAATTATCTGATAGCGTTATAAAAAAAAATTAGGTGAATGATTTTATGATTTATGGAAATTTAAATTTTATTTTGATTCTGAATTATTTAATTTAAGGCTTTAATTTTGGGGAGAAACAGATGCTTCTGGAAATATTATTTAGTATAAATGAATATTATTTATTTTCTTTTATTTGCAAATCTTGTACAAACTTTTATTCATTGTGAAAGAAGCAGGGAAAGGGAGGCAATTTTCGCCAAGTCATGATTTCGCGCGCTTTAGAATGTTCGAGAAAGAATTTTCATTGTTAGTTGATCTTAAGAGAGGAAAGTACGTGACGGAAAGGTCAAAGGTTGCTACTTGTCTTTCAATGTAAGTCATTCAGGTTTTTGGCGATTGAGGGTCCGGTTGTTTGGCTAAGTGAAGAAGGGCGCGCATGCGCGATCACCCTTATTTCCGCATTCTGGAGTTGAAAACGCAAGATTTTGCCATAATTAAGGGGGCGATAAGTGAAGCCATAGTGGGAGCCCGTTTATGTGAAGGAGACGAAGGAAATTCGAGTTGGATACAGACTTACTGGCTGGACTCGAACTTACTTGTGGCACTTACTCTGACTGAACTCGCTGATTTTCGAAAGCTTGCTGGACAAAATGTAATTACGAAGCGGGATGTTTTCCGGCGGGGAGCGGCAAAATATGCTCCCCGGCCGCGTTTTGGTTAAGAGGCGAGACACACTTACTCTTGACTCGCTTAGGCACCCACTGCTTGGATTCGCTGACTTTCGGGCTTGACGGACTTGTTGACGGAGACTGAGAAAAAAACTTGTGGGTGTTGCGAAGGAGAAAGGAAAAGATTTAGTCGGCATCGAGCAGTGCTTTCCGGCGGGGAGCGGCAATTATGCTCCCCGGCCGCGGGTTTTCGCAAAAATGCGAGGGAGAAAAAAAAAACTGTTGAGCGAATAACAAAAAAAACAAAAAACAAAAATTAAGAGACATTAGAGAGATTATTTATTAGGGAGTATTAGCAGAGACTTTGGTCTATCTGTATCGGCAAAAGGTCAGGACGATGTCCTCTGAACTTCGACTTGAAAACAAGAAATGACTTGGAAAGAATTATGTCACCTTAGACAAATGGAAATCCTGCGTTAGCCGTTCTCTAAAATGCCTAGCTTAATTGTCTACGTTTTCCTTGGTGGTGTTGGTGCTTGAGAGTCTAGGCAAAGCACAGCATCGTGCCTATGGTGTAAGCTGTTCTCTTGCTTCCAGTGGAATAATTTTCTTCTATGGAAACCAGTAGCAGGCGTAAGATTTGACGGTATAGCTGATGTAATTTATTGTCGTGCCGTTCGAGTCTCTGTCTTGCGGATTTGCCAAGTGACGTAAGGATAGAGCTAAGATATGAGCTCTCCTCCACTTCAAGATGTCCACTCAAGATAAGTATTATTTTTTTGGTGTGTTGGAACTTTAGGCAAGTTTTTTTCAAAAACGTCCTTAGCAGTAAAAACAACGTCGAATCTAAAATTTAACTCTCAGGCCATAAAATTGTTTCCCTTTCCTTTCTTTTAAATCACCAGTCAAACCTTAAGTTTTTTTATGAATTTAAATGAACAGACTCTCAGATGAGGTTAAGATTTTTCTTATTGTGTTGTAATTGAATAAACTGATATTTAATCTGGAACCTCTTACAGTATGTTTTCTTTATATATTTAATAGGAACTTTTCCTTTATATCTTGTATATGTTTTACGTTTTCGATCCTCTCACGGCGCGGTCCCGGAATGCATTTTTTTCACAACGCAAAAATGCTGTACACGTTTCACTATACGATCACTCCCTTTAACGGCAAGTAGTTTCATATTTAACATTTAACAATATAGGAATTTCGGATATAACATGGTACCTAGAAGTAAAACTATTTAACCTTGGTGTCGAAACTTTTTAACATAACATTGGTGCCGTGAAGTAAGATTCATAACATTATTTCCCGGCGTGAACTTAAGCTATTTAACAGTAGTTTTCTCCATGTGTAACATGGATACGAGCGAGTTTCCCTAAAAAGCAACGAGCGAGTTTCCCAAACCCAACGAGGCATCCTTACCTTTCCGTCTAGTGCCTAAGATCAGAGCATACGTAAAAAAGTCGCAAAGTCTATATACATAAAAATCCTAACTGAGCATACCTGTCTTGTAAAGAAAAAAGGTTAATCAAATCTATATCTAAAAAATCTTTCAATAAGATTTATATCACAATGTAAATTAATTAGCTTCATCTATAGATTTTTTAATCATCAAATGTTTAGACTTTTCCAGCTCTTGTCCTAATAAACAGTGTGTTAATATTGATAATTAATTTGCTGGAAACGCATTCGCGGACCGCATAAAATTGCTTCGGGTGCAGCCCGCGGGCTACCAATTTTAGGTCAAAGTAAAACCTAAATTTTGTTCATGCTGTGTTCTTGAGTTTTCACCTCACAGTACTTATGCCTGAGATGCTTAATGTGTAGGTCTCTTATCTACAATCCGGAAATATTATTCTTTTAACTGACGATTAGAATAATAGAGTGAACCTGTGAACTGTACGCATGTATAAACTGTATCTTCCGCGCAACAGTATGTGTCATTACTAATGTCCTGAGAATGCACATCTTTAACATGCCACTACAGTATTCGTTATGTACACATAGCACATTGTCACAGTATATCATAGGCATATAGTATTTGTATAATTAGTGCTTTTCCTACTCGTAACAGTGTTTATTTGTATTAGTGTTTCAGTGTTTATTGTTTATTTCTAGAGTTGTTTTATTCGATGCTAAGTGACGAACTACCTGTTAGTATAAGAGTCTGTATTATAAGTTCATCGTGCAGTGTCCATGCCTGAAACGTCTCATGTTTAGCTACCATCTGTCTACAACCAGCAGATACCATTTCTTTGTATTCCTTAGCATCTAGCCCTTCTTCGGGATGATATGCTTTTGAACGTCTCTAAATACACTCCCAATGCTGTGCTCTTAGAGTACCAGGAGTTGCTTATCCTACACATTTGTGAGCTCCGAACATTACCCAAATAGTTTATGAAAGCCTCCGGGGTGTCTGGCCCCGCTTTCACCTGTCACCTGTGTTCTGAGAATAACAGTACACCTATATCAATGTTTCTAAATATATGAGAATGATATGTGGTTTTGATGACAATTTAATAAAAAAATCTGATGTGTGCACCACATGACTTCCTTCTTCAGAATATTAAATTATACCCATTTTTCTTGCATTTCATTTAAACTTATTGGATTGAATTAAATCTACTTCCTCGAAATAGCGCATAAACCACAATAGAATAAATGCACTCTTTAACATTCACTATATTTATTTACCATAGCGACACTTTGGCCCTGGGTTCAATTAACAGCGTTACATTTCATTCATTTTTCAACTTAGAATGCACAAAATTTATATCATCTTAAGAATTATCTATTCGTTGAAACATGTAACTATTCAAATACTATAATAAATCTAGAACGATGTATCAAAGAAATTAAGTAAACAGCAACATAAAAAAACAGTTTTTCACAGACGATTCAGCATTTCTCATTCAATTAATTCAGTTCTCACTTCGTGAGAAGGCAAAAATATATTAAAACTCATGCCTATATTGAAAATTATGAAGTAAATCTTAAACACTTAATTCCTCGAATGAATTCCAGAATGGATTAAGCATGATTTAATTCGCAATAGTAAAAAAGGCGTTATCTTCGTTATTGCGAAGCTTACTTTCTCTAGATTAGCAGCAAATTTACTATTCTGCTGTTTCAAATGTAAACAAGCAGGGGGAAAATTTATTAGGCTTAGCGTCACTTAAACAACTTTTAAACTGATGATAATTCTAAAAATATTGCATAAAGATTCTCTAAAGGCATAAAAACCTTAACCGGAAGATAAGAACAACATAATTCAATCATTTTTTAAAGCAAAAAATGCACATTTTACAAACATTTAAGAATAAAGAAACTGAGATCACTGAGCCGAATAACAAAGCGGATATATATACATATATTTATATACTTTCGGTGCGACCGATTGCAACCAAAATACGAGGTGCACATCTACATGTTAGAGCAGTCCCGTATACAAAATATTGTACTTTTCCATTTTGCGGGCGCAGGCGATAAAGTCGCCAAAACTGGTACAACCGATGATAAACGGAATATCCTCGTTGGTAACCTTTTACGCTTGATTTTCAAAACAAGTAGCAGTAATTTCTTATGAATTCTGTGAATGTTTCTTTCAGTACAGGCATAAAATTACATAGCGTTTTTACCAGATAATTGAATTTTATGCCCTAAGTGATAGAAATTACTTTCAACATGTTAGGATTAACTTCGCCGGCGCTGTGCATGTTGCTTCTTTTTCTTTCGGAAAAATCAAAATTTCTTCTTCGTTTCTGCTAAACAAACTTCTTTAGAGCATATCGGGCTGATAACGTGATAGAAATTACTTAAATGGCAGATATATTTTGAAAATATAGTAGAAAGAAATAATCAAACCACAAATGCACGTTACATGTTTAATTTGCCAAGTAAATAAACATGCAATGTGCATTTGTGGTTTGCTTATTTCTTTCTACTATATTTTCAAAATATGTCTGCTATTTAAGTAATTTCTATCACTAAGCACTTTCGCGGTAACTAAGTCAACTAAGATGCAATCGTACCGCTCACCCGAAGACGAAAATGTAGAAAAAGCGAAGTCAGGCGTTAAATTCATCAATTTTAATGAGAATGCTCTAGCGAAGTAAAGCACTGCGGTTTTACATAATTTCTGAGTAAGCTACTGGTACGAATTGAAATAATTTTTGCATTTAAATTTGTAATCCTTAAGATTTAATTTAAGATTTAACTTGAAATTAATGTAGATAATCACTGACAGAATTAGATTTTTGTAGCGTAATTTACGTGAGAAGAGATCACTTGGTGTCATGTGATATGAACCGGTGAATCAGGATGTTGAGCCACGAGATCATAGTAAATTCTTAAATAAATGCCTTTTTACAAATTTATTTCCTTTATTTATTGTCTTTTTACAAAATTTCCTATTTTTCCGTTTTGCCGGCGCAAACGATAAAGTCGCCAACAATGGTACAACTGATGCCAAACGGAATATCTTCGCTGGTAACCTTTTACTCCTCATTTTCAATACAAGTCGCAGCCATTTCTTATCAGATTGATTGTTTCTTTCAATACTGGCATACAATTGCGTAGCATTTTTACAAGATAGTTGAATTTTATGCCCTAAGGCCATTCGCGGTAATTACGTCAATTAGAATGCAATCACACCGCTCACCCGAAAGCGAAAATATAGAAAAGGTAAAATCGAAGATTAAATTCATCCATTTTAATGAGAATGCACTAGCGAAGTAAAGCACTGCGGTTTCAGATAATTTCGGAGCAAGCTATTTGTACGAATTGAAATAATTCTTGCATTTAAACTTGTATTCCAAGTTAAGATTTAACTTAAAATTAATGTAGATAATTAGATTTTTGTAGCGTAGTTTACGTGAGATGAGATAATGTGGGGTCACGTGATACGAACCGGCGAATCACGATGTTGAACCATGGAAGCACAGTAAATTCTTAATGTCTTATTTAAAATTTATTGTCTTTATTTATTGGCTTTTTATAAAATTTCAAACCATATTAAAATGTTTATGCCTTCAAAATAAAAAATTTTTAGAACTAACGTTTGTTAACATTTTTTTTTATGTATATACTGTATGTTGTCTCCAACAAAGTCCGCTTGGCGAGATTTGCGCCTGCGAAGCGGAAAAGTACCCAAAATTTTAAATGATATTAAAATGTTTATGCTTTCAAAATAAAAAATTCCTAGAACTAGCATTGTTATTTATGTGTATACTGTGTGTTGTCGCCAATAAAGTCTGCTTGGCGAGATTTGCGCCGACTAAATGGAAAAGTAACCAAAATATTTCAACGTTCTAAGGCTACTCGTTTTTGAGTTACGCGAGATACATAATATGTACGTACGTACGCACAGACGCCACGAAAAATTCTCTTCAGTATTCATTTTAAATTAGTTTTACAATTTTTTTTTGTGGGGGAAAGTGCTTTATCCTGTCCTTGCATTAAGATATCACGCAAAAACATCGTTAAATTGCATTCGATAGCGGTGAAAATGGATATTTACGTTAAAATATGATGCCTGAAACTTTTCGCGATTACAATACTTCCTTTTTACTTCGTACAAGGAAGTAATAAAAAGATTTAATTTTCAAAATAATAGTCTTTGTAATTTTTGTATTGTTGAAGGCAATGCAGGACATTAAGTCAAAGACTACGTATTATTGCTATATGTTACTTACAAACATGGCAATATAAAGGAATTCTATTGCCGCAAGAATTTAGATTTCAAAGGATTTCATAAACTTTACAGTTGGCAACAGAACAATACCGGGAATTCCGTTAACCATGAAGACGATTATTATCGGCCAGGAGGGTTGCAGCACACTCCTATATTACATTACATAACGTATATCATTGTTTTTTTTTAAACTTGCAAATGGCATGAAATACATGTATTCTTTAGAAATTACGTTATATTTATATCAAATTTTAAATATTTTAACATACTTTAACTAATGTTTTATAATATTATAAACTAACTTCAAAGTTATAAATGCATAATTGCTAAAGTTTCTAGACTTACTAGACATATATGTCTAACAATTATTGTTCCATCAGCGTTATAATGTCCTCTTCAAATACAATACACAGGCACCAAACCGAAGAATATACAATACACAGGCACCAAACCGAAGAGTGAAGCAAATTCAATTAATATTCGAAATTCAATTTCCAAAATACTCATCTATATCATTTCGAATGATGACGTCTCTGACAGAGTTTCGTTCCAAATTAATTCTAATGGTAAATGTAATTAAAACTAATCAAGAGGCAGTCGTACTCAATATCTCATGTTTTAAGAGTGTCGAATGAAATTGGTGTCAACCGCTTTCGTAAAACCGATTTAAATTTTCATCTGTGAAAATAAATATACAATATTTAAATTAACAATTTCTGAAAACACATTTTCACTTAATTCAGAACACTTCCAAAGAAAATGTTAATTTTATGATTTTTCTTTGAAAATGTCCTGAGTTAAGCGAAAATGTGTTTTCAGAAATCTGCTGAATATGCAAAATTTGTACATGGTTATATAAAATATGGCTAATTTTTCAACAATTTAATGTATTTTTAAGCAATTCTTGAAAATGATGGTCTGTATTCCTGCATATTGTATAAGGTATTCATCATTTCTTCTTTTTCGCATTAAGAAAGTTTACTATCATGAAAAGTTCATTTATGTTGAGATTCGTGTACGTATGATTATCGAACATGGCACTAAAGTAATTTTGAACAGTAAAACATATTAATTTATATGAGTATGCAATTAAATTTATTCGATGTAATACTTTGCATAAGGAAATATATACTACTATTTTCGGAAACAAATGCAAGAAATATGTGAAAAATTAAATTTATATTGAATTCAAACACTCAGTGTGAAACGATAATATCTTTCATCCTCTTAATCGAACAATGAGTGTCAACGATAAGAGTTCTCATTTTGTTAATCAAACAATGAGTGTGAAAAGATAACAGCGTTGATCAAAATACCATTTGCTCATCCTGTTGATGTATGTATGAAGCTTAAGGGTCAAATCATAGGAACAGGTCTAATCACATAGAAAACTAACGGTAACAAGTACACATTCAATGTTTTACTAACCCTACTGATCTTTGTCTTATCATGATAAAGTCGTCTAGAAATTCGGATAAAACGTTTCTTCCCGAATTGTTGCCTAAAAGATTTCAACTAAAGTAGCAGGAGAAGAATCGAAAAGTCGCACATGACGTAAGAGAAGCCGCCACTCTTAACCCTTATCATACTCACGATTACTGTGTAGAGACATTAGGATTTTGTTTTTTGAGAAAGCCGGAGAGATGAAAAATTACAGGTTACATATAAATTGTG